CACTGAATAAGGAAAAAAAAAAAAACCAATACCAGCAATCATATTTCATTGATCTGACAGTGATAAATAAAATATGATTGGCTACAATAGGCACTGTACAAATCACTACTGCCTTGTTAATTAAATATTTTAATGCTATAAATATAACATTAAAAAATTTAAATCCAATGAATGACTCACTTATTTAGGATAAGCACAGCACTGGACAGGGCAGCAGGAGCTAATAAAAATAAACTTTTTCTATTAACAAACTTTTTCTATTAACAAGCTGGTGATCAACCAATCACCAGCTAGTTAATAGGAAGAGTAAACTTTGGCAGCTCCCTCCCCTCCCTGCCCACCCCTGCCTCATCTAGTTCTTCACCCGCTCCTTCTGTATGCCAAACCAGAGAATGACAGGGGGCAGAAACTGGAAGGGGAATCAGTTCTCTATTCAACCCCGCCTGCTGGCCGCGTCTGCCCCCATGATGTGGCTCCACATTACTCATTCTCTGCTAAGAGAATAACAGGGGTGGAGACTGGGAGGGGAATCGACTCCCGTTCAACCCCGCCTGCAAGCGGCGCCCGCACCCCCCTCCGATGCAGCTCCACACTCGCCCTTAACTTATTTCCACTCGCCTAATGGGAGCGGGCGAGTGGACGTTTCGAGCGCTGCCCTAAACCATTTATTTCCTACAATTGTATCTTGGTCGCTTGGGGTGATTAATGACTGTTAACTTGAAAAATAATTTAAAAAAAGAGAAAAGTATGGTATTATGATGCATAATACCTTTTTATTGTATTTTTTAATTCATTTTATAGAGATTACATTTTTGGCATTGATCATTAGACAACAATGCTCCATTCACTTTACCGCAGTCTTACCTGCTTAGGTTTATAGGCAATCTTATAGCCTAATGCATGGTGCTTGAATGGTATAAAACGTTTCTGATATATCAACAGAAATATTAATCATAAAGTAATGCCTTTATTTAGGGTGAATAGATACACACTAAATATGCTGTGAAATGAACTGAAGAAGAACTGAAGACAGGATTACAAGTAATAAAATGGTTCCATACTCACGGTGATTTCTGTTCACTCGTGCCTTTTTATATGATTTGTACAGATCAAAAAGATTTCTAAACCTAATTCTGGAATTCAGTGAACAGTATAAACTCTTTATACCCTTTCCTTTTCTAAAATGGGTCATACAGTAAATCAGTTTAAAATCCACTTTAATAAAGTGATTGCTAAATTTAGCTACAGTAGTGCCCACACTTCTCATCTAAAGGGAAGATTATAAGATCAGGAGGATGAGCATACTAACACCAAGAGTTTTTAAACATGAGGAGATTCATTATATATTGCAGTGCTTGCTGTGTCATTTCCTTTTCAGCACATAGTAATGTTTTGCTTTACTTATTTTTCAGGTTTGTTTCTACGATTTACATGTGTGTGTACTTGATGTGTTGGAAGATCGGGCAGCTGTGATCTAATATTCTGGTAATAGGGCTTTCCCATCCTTTACTGAATTGCAAAGATTCAATTTACTGTTGATCTCTTTGATTATTTGTAATTCAAACACTAGTGCTTACGTTCATGTTCAAGGACAGACTCTGCCTATTATAGTGATCTGTCTTTTTTTTCTTCAGATATCAGTGGTTTAATAATCTTTTAGTTTGGTTGAATTATGATAGATTATAATACCATGGTCCCAAATTGGGTACTTTCGATTTGGAGAAGTTATTTCATGTTATTTGCTTTTAAAAAAATATAAGCTAGAATTAAGAATCTGCAAGCATTGTATACTGTACATAAGAGTATTTTAGTACTTGTAAATTGAAAGTTCCAAAATGACAAATGTTAACATATTTTGTGGCATTTGAAAAATAGGTAAAAGATATGTGTTAACAATTGTTAAATTGGTAGTAAAGGCATGTGAAATGATTAGTGATTTATAATGGGGTTGATTTACTAAAACTGGAGAGTGCAAAATCTGGTGCAGCTCTGCATGGTAGACAATCAGCTTCTAACTGCAGCTTGTTCAATTAAGCTTTGACAAAATCCTGGAAGCTGATTGGTTTCTATGCAGAGTTGCACCAGATTTTACACTCTCCAGTTTTAGTAAATCAACCCCATTACATTTTAAATAAAAAGGGTATATAAAGTGGTTAAAAACGCATTTTTTCTGAAATAAAAGAGGTTTATACCTACCTGTTCTGTGCAATGGTATTGCAAAGAGTGGCCCCTTCTTCTGGGTTTCCCAATCAGCGCTGTTTGCTCCTCCTCTTCTCAGAGTGCTCCCATAGCCAGCTGTTATTGGGCACTCCTGCAGGTGCGCCCCTGGGCTATGTATGTTTACAGACACACAAAGCTTACCTTGGTCCCAACCCCTGTTCCATCCTCACAGGATTTGATTGATAGCAGCAGGATCCAATGGCTTCCACTGCTGCCTCTCTTTCCTGTGAGAACAGTGAGATGGAAGATAAAGGCTACAGAAGAGCACAGCACTGGATCGAGATAGGACTTAAGTGAGTGTTTATGGCAGTGGGGGCAGAGAGGAATACAACTACTGGGACATTTTTTATCTTAATGCAGGAAATGCATTAAGGTAAACAATGTCTTGCCTTTAGAACCATTTTAAAGTTGAAATTCAGGAAGATACACCATCAAGATATATATGTCTGATAACAGAATTGTAATTTACAGGACTTGTAAGCAATACATCAAAGTAGAAAATAGTGTTTTTATGATTTTATATTTTTTTTTGTCTATGGATTGCATAAAAATATATTTTTTGCAAGACAATAACATCAAAAAATAGCACGTTTGTTCTAAAAATGTATTTTACTTAACTCAAATCTTCCGGCCCAAAACACAACTTCAGCCTGTATTTGTATACTTCCCCTTGCATATTGAGGTTTTCACAGGACCATACATGCCTCTTTTTCATTCCGCTGTGCACTGGTTGATGGAGGGTGTCAGGTAGGGTCAGAACATCACTACAGTAAAGCCTACATAATAATGATTGAATATTTTCAGACAATATACCTCCCTAAGATAATATACACAGCTTTTCCTAAATGTGAACAGTAAAGATTGTAAAGCAGATGCTGTGCGTCACATTTGTTGAAAAGTAGATATCACTGCATAGCATAGAACACTAGTGTGCCAGCTTTTGCGCAGCAATCCCTGAGTCCCATGATTCAGTGTGCACAAGGAGGTTCTGTAGCTAGCTCTTTCTCATTCAGATGAAACTAGCTCTACAGAAGTTGTATGCACCACATAGAACACAGCAGCAGTCAACGACTTGTCTATGCTTGCCAAAATTCCCTTCAAAGAATATATATACAGTATACAAGCAGTGAAAGAGAAAGGAGATAAACATTAAAGGGCGACACAGTTTACCACCAAGCAAAAAGAGGCAGAAGCAGATGGATCAGAAACAAGTTAGGGTGGAGCTCTGTTTTAACAATTGGCGAGATAGGAGATCTCTAGTTGATCCCTATCTTGCAATAGAGATGAACTGTACATCAAAATTCTTTATTCAGGTTTAACATTTCTGTGGGGTACAATCTAACTTTTTCAAGGCTATGCCTCACTGAACTGTCAGCCTTGATTAAAGAACTTAATGTACAGTTTGTCTCTGTTGGAAGACATGTTGGTGCCTTAGTATCTTTGCTTATTTTAACGTCTTGTTCCAGGTACCAGTTATGTCACTCTTATATTGTCAGTGCAAACGACAGCCTTTCTTTTTAATATATAAGTTCAGAACACTAAAAAGATGCCCAATTAATGATTTACATGAGTTCTTTATCATGCATTTTCCAAAGCTTCATGCTCATTATTTTCTCTGCTAACTGCATTTTTTCATTGTACCCCAGTCACTTGTTTTAGATTTTGGTGTAGAGCAGAAGTGTATCATGTTGTGGAGGACTGCATATTAAGATCTAAGTATTTAATTATTTGGTTTTCCTGGGATGCAAAATAGTTGAGAATTTATTTTTTTTCAGCTTTCAGAGTTTTTTGGGACATTCTCATAAGGGGCCTATGTACAAAAAATGATCTTGATTGTAACAGCTAACATTGTTAAAAAGAAAACAGCTCAGAAGCACTTGTCAAATACATTACATACATTTTCCTGAAAATAATAATCACAGAACATTCCCATATTATACATTTAAATTGATGTCTTCCTGTAGAATTGGGCCCGGGCCATGTTGTGCAAATGTGGCTGCCATGTATGGCCTTCTTCAATAAAAAGAGGGGTTTTTTTAGTGCTGAAGGTGCCCTTAGATTTTAAATGACAGTCTCCAAATAAAACTGTTTTAGGTCTAGATTGTATCTTGACCTAATCTCTCTGGAGCAGCTGAACACACACCTAGCCTAGATCTATCTGGAATAGTAATTAGCCAGAATAGAAAACCTTGTGCAACCCCCTTTGCTTTTAGGTTCCATGCACACCTATGCAGTTTGATTTTTGTCCAATTTGCAGTGCTTTTCGAAGTTCGTTTTGCATTTTTCTCTGCACATTTTTGACACGTTTTTTGACACATTTTGCATTTTGTTCAGCACTTTTTTTTTTAAGTGGGTTTTTTTCTTTTGCTGGGCAAATGCAAAACGCAGCAAAAATGCGGCAAAGATGCGGCAAAAATGCACTACCATGCATTTCAGCAGATTCTCCATTGAACTCTGTTGTAGCAAAAATGCTGCTTTTTAAAAAAGTCCCTGACCCTTTCCAAAAATGCAGCAGCTCAAAAAAGCATAGATGTGAACAAGCACCATAGGAAACCATGTTAAATTGACTGTAGTGCGTTTCTGCAAAAAGCACTAAAAATTGGTGTGAACGGGGCCTAACACAGCAAGATCTTGCTGTGATTTGTCTACCTATAAACTTTTTTTTCATAGAAAGAGATGAAGTAGTCTTGAAGCAAATGGAATAAGAAGGTTAAATAGCTTAAAAAAGGAAAATAAACATTAACTGTTGTATGATATATCTTTCTTTTGTCTTTATGTAGGATAACAGCAGGAACCTTCTTTCATATATTGTGTCATACTACTTACGGCATTTTGATGATGTAAGTCTGCATGTTTTGCTTTATGTTATTAATTTAAAAAGAACATTTACCTGGATGACAAACATAGGCATTGCTAATATAGAAATAAAGCCAGGTATAGAAATAAAGCCAGTGGACCCTTAAAAACACTAGTGATTACTCGCCAGCACCTGGTGATTGCTGAGCATCTCCGACAGGGAGGAGAACTGTATGTAAACAAAACAGTTCTCCTCCCTGTCAGCTAGTGCACACTGCTTTGCATGGCTGTGCTTAGCTCAGCCATGCAAAGCAGTGTGCTTACAGTGAAGCACACAGACACAGCACATAGTAAAACAGAACACAGTTAACTCTTTAATCACCCCTCGTGTTAACCCCTTCCTGCCCAGTGCCATTAGTACAGTGTCAGTGCTTTTTTTTTTAGCACTGATCACTGTATTATTGTCACTGGGGATGTCAGTGACACCAAGTTAGTCCCCCCCCAGTGTCATAATGCCAGCTGCAGTCCCGTTATAAGTCACTGATCGCCACCATTACTAGTAAAAATAAAAAAATCTCAGTATATTTATCGCCATTTGTAAACACTATTACTTTCACGTAAACCAATTAACTTACACGTATTGGGATTTTTTTTTAGCAAAGACGTTGCAGAATACATTTTGGCCTAAATTTATGATGAAATTAAATTTTGTTAATTCTTTTACTGGATATGTTTAATAGCAAAAAGTCAAAAATATTGTTTTTTTTCTCAAAATTGTCAGTCTTTTTTTTATAGCGCAAAAAACGCACAGGCGATCGAAAAAAAGCTCAATTCGTGAGAAAAAAAGAATGTAAATTTAATTTGGGTGCAGTGTTGCATGATGGCGTAATTGTCAGTTAAAGTAAAACAGCACCATAACGCAAAAAATGGCCTGGTCAGGAAGGGGGGTAAATTCTCTGGAGGGCAAGTGGTTAAGCAAATGAATAGTTGAATAACAATCCAAAGGTTGGTGATGAGTGGTAGCAGAGATACAGATGGCAGCAGGAATGACAAGAGCAAGATATTGGCTAGTGTGGTTTATGTAATAATTTATTCTAAATACTTAGGGCGGTGTCCTCTCTCTTAAACAACATATTGCAGTGCCTTCACCCGTTAAAATACGGCAAATTTTTAAGAAACCAATAATTTGGACACCTTAATAATTTGATCACCACTTAATAATTTACCTTGAGTTCTTTCACCAATATGATTTTGTACCATATACACAAAATTTGCCTTTTTGATGAATAAATACATTTATTTATGTCGAAAATTTATATATATATTAATACAAACGCAAAATATTGGTGATGAATATATATTCGTACACACAATGCAAGATATTATATGCTAATATCTATATTATCATACAATATATGATTTCCAATAAAGGAAAAACTAAATTTTGGGAGGTTAGTTGCAACCTATAGTACTTCAGATATTATTTCTCATTTCCCGTGGCCATAGGGAAATAAGAAAATATCTCTGATAATTAGCACCACAACAACACTACAAATTAGTTAGTATGCAGTATATAATCTCAATACCAATATTCAAACAGTTATAGTTATAATCATATAGATAACCTTAATACATTCCTAACCACACAATAAAATGTTATAAATCTTAGAAAGTTTGAAATATAAAAGAAAATTACAACATTTTAGCACAGTCTCACCACTCCCAAAATCTCGATTTTGAGGCCTCCCAGTGGGATGCGATTGGAAAAGAACTGTTTCTGGGCAGTCAGGCACCAGAATGTAAATGAACATCAGCATCTCTGGCGAATCTTTTCCTTCAAAATGGCAGCTGGAAGTTCTCAGCAAAATAGCCGCAGGTGGCAAGTCAGTATAGTGCAGTATATAGTGGTAATAGAGTAGTGAAGAAGTAGTTTCAGGAGTAGTTCAGAAGTGATCAAGAAGATTAGAGTTTTCAGAAGATGTCTTAAGAAGTAGTTAGAAGATCTCCAGTTTAAGTAGTTTAGCAGATTTTAAGTTGTCAGAAGATCCCAGAAGATTTGAAGATTCTAAGTAGTAGTTTCAGTAGATCAGAAGATTGGAAGATTTCAGAAGATGATTCGAAGATGGTCTTCAATTTGAAGTGTTTGGCATTATATATCATGTAAGTCTTTTGTTTCGAAGGACCTTCCAAAAGACTTGTTGATTGGACGGTTGAACAGTTTGTGTACCTAGAGATGTTCCTAACCTTTCCACTAGGGACAGTCATGTATTACAAATGAATTGGTGGTCTTAATGATGACTCACTCTTTTATATAAGCAGTATGTCTTTGTGGATCAAATATATGTCCTATTCAGGTATAGATGATTTCACTACTAACTCTTGGATAAGGACCATAGAAAGCTGTGAATATATTTGGTTTCTCATTTTTCTGATATATGAACTGTATTGGAATGGCTGATTTCCTTTGGAAATATAGAAATTACCCAATTCACAAACCATCTTATATTTCATCACTTCAAACTTCAGTTGAGTGGGGTGCAATACCCAACCTTATCGAATAGATTTTCCCTTGATGAAAAAGTGTTGATAATATACTTTCTGATAATTTATCCGTTGGTATATATCAAGCTTTATATTTTAAATGACCCAACTTTCACCTTGTTTAATGCATGGTTCAAGGATATGTGACGGAGAAAACCTCTAGTTACTTGCCCTATTGTGTGAGAATTAGGGTAAACAGAATGGACTGGATTTTGACCTCAGGATATAATAGCCGATTGTGACAGTTTAGAGGTCTTGTTTGGTAATCACACACTTTCCAAGGTTTTTGGAGAAATCAGACAATAAGGTTTTCGTCTCACCATTGTCCCTTTGGTCCAGTGTGTTTGCTCACGTGTAGAAATTCAAATAGTGGTGTTTCGGTTTCATTGTCTCTTAGACCAATTTCTTCCACTTATTGTGTGTGTGGGTAACTTCTTGGAATATCACTTGAAATTCAACCTAGAATGTTAACCCCTAACAGTCAGCTTTTAAGATATTATTTTGGGTAATATCATTTTTCTTAATAAACAGTCCAAAAGTCATCACACTAGAGAGAGACCAATAATCTGCAACAGGAAGTGAAAAGGCATGGCTTAAATAGGAAGTTCATGGGAGGAGCAAGAAGATCAAGGTTTAGCAGAAAAAGGCACAAGGCAGGATTGTTCAATGGACCAGACAGGTTGCTATTCAGCATCTCCTGTAGCTCAGCAAAAAGAGACATTGCCAGATACAGCAGAGGTTGCAGTTTCAGAGGCGAGTCCTAACACAAAGGAAGTTATCAACTCGCAATATTTCTAACAGGAATGTTTTGCACTTGTCAAAGAGATAAACACTGTCAATTGTATATTTAGAGGACCAAAAGGGAGAAATTAGGTACGTAAATTATTGTTAGGGTTTATTTAAACTTCTACATTAATATTTTTAGCAAACCCACTGCTGCCATCTGTAGTACTTACTTTTTCCTGAATTCACTGATTTATTGGGAAGGGAAGTGCAGAAAGGAGATACTTCCAATCAAAGGAAGCTAAGGTAATTGTTTGCTGCACGCAGGGGAAATTAAATGCAGAAGGAGACCTTACTTCCACCAAGGGCCTACCCAACCAATCCATTCAATTTATTTTTAATCAGTTAGCAACCTCCTCCAAATGTTTTCAGTGCCCTGGATCTTGTGGGATCTCTCAAAGGAAAAATGATGCTTAATAATTTTTTTTTTTTTTTGCACATGCTATGGTTGTTGGTTTTTCTCTAGGATGTAGCTAAATATGGTCTACAGTGTGCAAAAGCGTATACTGAAATCTGTCATCCACATTGGCCGAATGCATTCCTTAGTGAGCGCAGTAGATTCTCAAATAGTATAAAAAAAAAAATTGGGAACTTGCAACTTGTAAAAAAAAAACCACACAGACAGATCACATTGGTTCTTTTTTAAAAGATTCTGAAGTTATTCAGACCTATATATAATTAAAAATTCTTCAATAACCCTCTTGTAAAAATACAGAATCACTTGAATAGGTAAAATACAATACAAGAATAGACTTTCAGGTGACCCAGAATGCAACCACTGAAACAGCACCTCGTGTTCCTTTAAATCAGGGCTATGTGGGAGTGTAAAGCTTCTCTTCCTTACTACACTATGGAATCCAAACATCTTAAATTATTGGAGAAAACTTTTCAAATTCATCACCAAAGCATTAAACCAGCAATAGATGGTTTGAATGTAGGCTGGTTCAGCAGGGACCAACTGAGATTGGAACCATCTATGGGAAGGCTGATTCTACGGAATTTGATTGCTGTGTGACTTTGGTATAGTAAACCTGTCAGATTTGTATGTGATTATTTCCAGTGGCTATAGCTGCTAGCAATGTTCACACAGACAGTGTTGATGGGGGAATTCTTCCCACAAGGCTATTATGTTGTTCAGGCAGGGATGGCATCCGCTGGGTGTCCCCTCTCCTTCCTGCTGGGAGAACACAATAGGAGGTATTCCCTCATGCACACTGACTAAATGGAGCACTTTTCTTTCCTGTAACCACTAGAAATCACATCACCTATGGCTGGCTTTAGGAAATATGTTTACAGTAAATGTCCTAAATAAATTGATTAACTGCACTCCATCTCTCATTTGAATTGTGCATCTGGACTTTAGATACAGTGGAATATTTACTAAAGACAAATAGGTTGTTCATATTGCAGGGGAATTCTCCCTTAGTTTGAGTGTGGTGAAAATCCACTTTGCAAATAATACCTGACACATTTTCAAAGATAAACACAACCTATTTTTTGCTTGCAACTGATTGGATAATAAAAGATGGCAGAACTTCCCTTCATTCACTAAGCGAGGAGAAAATTAGTATGCAAAGTAAACAGCCTATTTGCCATTAGTCAAATACCTAAAATCTATTTAGGCCCCTTTCACACGGGCGTTATTTTTTTTTCATCAATTCAGTTTACATCCGTTTTTCATCATTTTTTCTTCAGTTTACATCCATTTTTTTCATCAATTTTTTTATCAGTTTACATCCATTTTAATCAATTTGTCATCCATTTACATCCATTTTTCATCTGTTTACATCCATTTTTTTGTCAGTTTACATCCGTTTTCATCCATTTACATCTGTTTTTTGTCCATTTACATCCGTTTTTGTCCATTTACATCCGTTTTTCATCCGTTCCTGGTTTTTTAAAGGAAGAAAAATAGGGTTTTCTTCTGTTCAAAGAAACAGATGTTAGGGGATCCGGACATTAACGAATGTAAAAAGATGATCATCCGTTTACATCCGCTAATCCATAGAAATACATGGGTGTCCGTTTTTCATCTGTAAACGGAGAGATGAAAAACAGACGGAACGCCCGTGTGGAAGGGGCCTTAGTGTGTCTATGCAAAATGAACGCAAGCAGGTTTCTCAGACTTATTCCATCTGCTCTGGATAGCTCCAAATAGAGGAAGTACGGGGCTTATCCTTGGTTCCTGGAGGAGGTTGTTAATTGAAACAAGTGTGTTCTGACCTATCTATTCTAGATGGTCATGTTTCTCTGGTAAGTGCATTGTCTCACTGCATGTGGGTGGAAGCTTTCACAATTGATTGCTGTGGATCACCAAGTATATTAAAGAAGCACACAGAAAATTGGATCATGTGGCTATATGGTCACGTGCATATATATTATTTTTATTTTCTCTTGTATGGACTTTTTATGCACATGTTGAGCTTTTGTTAATAAGTACATCCAATGTATATATACATATAGAAATATGTGGTATATTTGCACTCATTTTTTGTTTGTGTATAATTATAGCGCTACCTTCTTTATGGTATAAGCAGGTTTCTCTATTTTGGAAAGTGTGATTTTGTGGAATGTAAAATATTAGCTAGTTAGTTCTACCCAGACTTTCTCTTTATTTTATTAACTTTATTAACAAGAACAAAACATTCTGTTTCCTGCATTTGTTGTTGTGCATAGTTCTAATACCCGAGTTTAGCTTTGGGAAGTATAAGTGTAGAAACATTGGTGTAAATACCAGCGGTATAGATTAATTATTAGATTACTGAAATGATCAATGTCACAAACCCTGGCCATATAATTTAAATTATGTAAGCAGAGTTTACTTTTAGTCAAAAGGCACAAGTCAAAATGATCAGTAGATTCGGAGGTATAGGCAGTTGAAGTTACATGCAAATGCCAATTTTCCTGTAGCACTCTACTTTCTACCCTTAAAGTGGTTGTAAAGGCTGAAGGTTTTTTACCTTCATGCATCAATGCATGAAGGTAAAGAACCTTCTGTGTGATGATCCCCCACAGCCCCCCAATATTCACATGAGCCCCCTCTCCAGCAATGCACACGGGATCCTCGGCTGTCCCGGGTCTCTCTCTCTCTCCATTGGCTTAGACACAGCAACGTGAGCCATTGGCTCCCACTGCTGTCAATCACAGCCAGTGAGCCAATGAGGAGAGAGTGGGGAGTTGGGGGCGAGTCACAGCCCTATGTGTCATATAGCATGCACCAGTGCCCCCATAGCAGCACAGTGGCTAAGTGGTTAGCACTTCTGCCTGGCAGTACTAGGGTCGTTGGTTCGAATCCCAGCCACGGCACCACCTGCCTGGAGTTTGCATGTTCTCCCTGGGCCTGTGTGGGTTTCCTCCGGGTACTCCAGTCTCCTCCCACTCTCCAAAGACATGCTGGAAGGTTAATTGGCTCCTGTCTAAATTGTCCCTAGTATGTGTATGTATGAATGTGAGTTAGGAATCTTAGATTGTACACCCCTTGAGGGTTAGGGACTGATGTGAATGTACAATATATATGTGAAGTGCTGCGTAAATTGACAGCGCTATATAAGTATCTGAAATAAATAAATAATAGCAAGCTGCATGATATTGGGGGCACTGGTCAAGGGAGAGGAGCCAGGAGCGCCAGCAGGGGACCCGAGAAGAAGAGGATCAGAGCTGGTCTGTGCAAAATCACTGCACAGAGCAGGTAAGTACGATGTGTTTATAATTTTAAAGAATGGGGGGAAAAAATTAACCTTTAGAATCAAAGCTTTAAGCTTTCCTATTGTCCTTTTAAAGTTACTTCACTGACTAATGCTAAAACTTAAGAGACAGGAAAGGGTGAGGCAGACGAGGCTTTTACAATTTGAGATTTGCACTTACAGCTCAAGATCTATTGCTCATTTTGACAAAAAATGTTCACTGTAGTAAAATTCCTCTTATTAATTTTTTTTTCACATGCTCAGTTTGAATGGCTCAGGTTTGATTATATTTGAAAAGGGACTTTTGTAGGTTTTATCATTTTAACTGCTGTTTTAACTTACAGAATGCAGGTAAAGAAGAATGTGTATTTATACTGCCAGAACCTCAAGATCTTTTTCAAGCATCCCAGATGAAATTTGAAGATTTTGTAAAAGATCTTCGAAAAATAAAAAAAGACTTGAATGGTATGTCTAGTTGTTTCGAGAATTTTTTATACACATGCAAATATTTGTACACACATACACATTACAAAGTAAATACGAATAGTAAAATCATATAGATCATTCCCACAATGAGTGATCTGAAGGTAAAGTTTAAAAGCTAGTTTTAAAGCAGTATTAAACCCAAAACCAAAAACATAATATATTGCAGCTTACCAATCATTAGATGTGGTGGCTGTATTTGTATTTATCTTTTTAGGCTTTTTAGCCCTCTGTTTTTACCTGGTAATCTGACCAGTAACACACTTCCTGTATTACAGTGCCCCCACTCTGGATGAATGGGCACAGGGGCACCTTCGGACAGCAGTATTGTCAGTCCAGGGGGAAAGGGAAATGCTTTTTTTGCTGCTTTTTTACTGCACTTGTGGTGCGTTCTTTACAGGACATGTGACTCAAAAAATGCACCAAAAGCACAACGTGGGTGCTTTTTTTATGCATTTTTACAGCATTTTCCATTGGTTTGAATTGGGAGGTGCAGTCCTAATGCATTTTTTTTACAACACCAAACCTGCACCAAAATGCAGCAAGCAGGATCCACAACGGATCAGTGTGAAGCGTTCACACATTTTACTTCCACTGTCCTCACACAGATAGCAGCAGTCCTTCTCTGCGGCTTAGTGCTGGGACCCTGACAATGAATTAATGGAGGTCAGTTATAATTCCACAGGTAAACATTTACCATCTACGTTTTACTGTACCCTCACTGTATTTTTATGTGGTTTTTTTTTTACCATACTACAACTGGGCTTCAAGAAAGTCATATTATCCTAGGCAGTTATAAAGCTTGTGATCATTCCAGCAACCAGTAAATAAATGAGTAAACTAAACTTTTTATGGACCCTATATTAAACAAGATAGAATTACTTATGCCACCAGGGTAGTTACTTGCTTACCAGGCCAATTTAACACATTTCACATACATGTAAAAATCTAATTGTTTTTATAGAAAATTACTTAGAACCCCAAAACATTTTGTATATTTTTTAAGCACAGGCCCTAGAAAATAAAATGATGGGTGTTATTTTATGCAACATTGTATTTGCATAGCGGTTTTTCAAACCAATTTCTTGTGAAAAAATACACTATAATTAATTTTATTGCACACAAACACAATATAATCCCCAACATTCTCTTAAATTTAAAAGATGGTGTTACACAGAGTAAATAGACACCTAACATGTAATACTGTAAAATTGTGTACACAGGCACCAAACTACAGTACTTAAAAATCTCCATAGGTGATGCTTTAAACGCCTTTACAGGTTACCAGTTTAGAGTTACACAGGAGGTCTGGTGCTAGAATTATTGTGATGACATTTGCGACAAAAACCTCACAAGTGTGGTGCGACCACCGTTTACATAAACACATGCACTTGGACTTATATATGCATTTGCGCATCAGGGGGCACTTTAAATTAAAAAAAAAAATATATAAAAACTTTTTTTTTACACTGTCTCTTTATTTTTGTATTAACTTTATTGCCAACACAAGGGATGATCATCATCCCTTGTTACAGCATTGGCCGTCACGGGTTCTCTTTATGGAGAGATCTGGGATCTGGGGTCTATTAGACTTCAGATCTCTCCTCTGGCCTTTAACCTCTTGCCGACCGCGCATAGCCGAATGACGGCTTCACCACGGCCGGCCAGTTCTGGGTGGACGTCATATGACGTCCTCCCAGAACGCGCTCTCCTGCGCGCCCCAGGGGGCACGCACCCGGCGATCTCCGTGATCGCTGTGTCCTACGGACACAGCTGATCACGTGATGTGGTAAAAGGCCAATCACAGCGGCCTTTTACAACCTGATCAGCGGTGTCCAATGACACGCTGATCAGAGGGAAATGCAAGTGCCGGTTCTTGGCTGCACTTTCCTCACACTGTCAGATCGTGAGGAAAGTACTGCCGAGAACCGGCAGTTGTCAGAGCGGGGATCGGCACCGATCATCAGGGCACTGATGATCGGTGCCCTGATGATCGGTGCCCAGCAGTGCCACCCGTAAGTTCCGCCCAGCAGTGCGCCCACTAGCTCCACCCACCCGTGCCCAGCAGTGCACCCACCTGTGCCCAGCAGTGCACCCACCTGTGCCACTCTGCAGTGCCACCTACCTGTGCCCAGAAGTGCCACCTACATGTGCCCAGCTGTGCCACCCACCTGTGCCCACCCACCTGTGCCCACCAGTGCCACCCACCTGTGCCCACCCACCAGTGCTGCCTACCAGTGCCACCCACCAGTGCAGCCCAGCAGTGCTGCCAGTCAGTGCCACCAGTCAGTGCCCAGGGGTTGTGCCAGTCAGTGCCGCCAGTCAGTGCCCAGCAGTGATGCCAGTCAGTGCCGTCTATCAGTACCCATCATCAGTGTCACCTATCAGTGCCCCCTATCAGTGCTGCATATTAGTGCCGCCTATCCGTGAGACCTCATTAGTGCTGTTTATCAGTGCCGCCTATCCGCGCCACCTCATTAGTACTGCCTATCAGTGCCCTTTAGTGCTGCCTATCAGTGCCCATCAGTGTCGCCTATCAGTGCCCATCAGTGCTGCCTCATCATCAACGCACATCAGTGAAGAAGAAAAAATGCCTGTTTGAAAAATGTTATAATAGAAACAAAGAAACTTTTTTTTTTTCAAATTTTTTGCACTTTTTTATTTATAGCGCAAAAAGTAAAGCGCCCAGCAGTGAGTAAATACCACCAAAAGAAAGCTCTATTTGTGAGGAAAAAATGATCAAAATTTCATATGGGTACAATGTTGCATGACCGCGCAATTGTCAATCAAAGTGCGGCAGCGCTGAAAGCTGAAAATTGGCCTGGTAAGGAAGGGGGTATAAGTGCCCGGTAGGCAAGGGGTTAATACAGCCAATTAGAAACAGATCAGTCTGATTGGCTGCTTTCCTGGCCTCTAACAGCCAGGTAAACAAAGAGCCAATACCAGAAGTGACTAAATCCTTTTCACTTCCAGTTTCTGGGGTCACAGAGAGGACCAATGTCAGTTCCTTTTTTGTCTAGTGCAGCCATTTCTGCAGGCCCCCGGCTCCCTGATCAGACAGGAGAGAGCCCCAGAAAGGCGATGGGAGGGGGGTCCCCCTTCCACGGACCGCAGAAGTGATCAAGTGGCAATTCAGCCACTCAAATCACATCTGCTAAAAATCACACTGCCAGCTGTAAATGTTAATACTGGGATGATGCCTACAGGTGCAAGAATCTTCCTGGTATAACCACTCCCCTCCCAGGACGTCATATGACGTCCACCCGAGGGAAAGTGGATATACAATATATATTATGGAAAGAAATTGTAAGGGTAAGAGAATTTTACAATACTTTGTTTTACATTAGGATTAGTATACTATATTCTAAAATGCTTTAAAAGATATACAGGACATGCATAAGTAATTCCTAATACTCTGTGGATTGCTTTGCTTGGCAAAAAATTCCACATTAAAAAAAACCTTTAAATAAACCCAGTGAAATGACTAGCATCAAGACACACTAGATACACTGAGAAGAAACAAATCCTCCTACAAAAGTTGTAATTGTTTATCAGCAGCCATTTCTTTTTATAGATCATTCTAAAAACGCACAGATCAAAGGATTTTTTTTTCACCTCCAGCAGCAAGGGGCAGGGATCTGCATTCTCACAGTGCAAATTTTAGTTAGGGGAGCTCTGAGTCCTGATTGGAGGGACGGAACACACCCCATACTCACAGTACATGGAGAACATGCACAGCTGTGAATATCAATCGCAGGCTGTGTGCTGGAGCTGTCTCCCGTCACCTTTTTATCACTTGGTGTTGAGAAAACCTCATAGTGATAACAGAGCAACAAGGCAGCAGAAGGAAATCACATTCAGTGCTTTGGATAGAAGCAAGTACACGGACGGATGTGCTTTGTTTATATTTCATGTCAGAGGTTTACAGTCATTTTAAAAATGGAATCTCAGGGAACAATCAAGCTGATGGAGTATGAGAGGATCAGACATGTAGTCATGAGTTGAATGATTGTACAGTATTGGGAAAGTACTCTATACTGTATGTGACATTCGGTAATATGAAAATTCTACTGAATGTGCTCCCACAAGTTTTTAAAAACTGTCAAGTTTGAGGGCTACCATAGTACTGAAGAACTGTGTAATTATTGGTGCCATGACTCCCTTATTTGGACCACTTTTGAAGTATCCACAACATGATAAAGTGCAATGTGGATTGTGGGTTTCAATCCACACAGGGTTTCTACTATTTTCAGATAGCTTTGCTTATTTTAATTATTGTCAATTTTTCATCTTTTTTATTTTAAATGAAATCTGCTGTCGAGAATAACATTATGCACCCACAAAAAATAAAAAGCTGTAAAATTGTTGAAATGTTACAGTAAATTTATCAAAAAAGAACAGTGTTCTACAGTATTTATTATTTTTAACAGCATGTGAGATCGAAGCAACAAAAGTTTACCAGAAATCTTTGGTGGAATATTTACAGCCTTTCAAAGACAACATAGAAGTGTTCCTCAGCAAAGGTACAGTTCATATATCCTGTATTATCCTTTTGAAAATGTTATGGGGTAAAATTATAACTTTCCTGACAGACTCCATGGCAGCATATGTTTGGGTTGCTCTGCCCTTTCTACTACCCCATAGGACCCCACTCCCATATGTTTTGAGGCTGGAGCCAGAGGCCATGTTCCTTTTTTGTCCTTCTCACTCATTGGACCAATTTTGTTTGAAGTTTTTGCTACCTTTTGGAAGTGTCGGCTGCCAGGTCTTGTGGGGGAGAAGCTGTGCAGATGTAAGGAGCATCCTGTGGTGTCCAAAAGTCTTCCAGGATAGCTTGAGTGGTTACCAAGTCTCCAGCTATCAGTGGGGTGGTGCTTGCCGCACATATGCAGAGGGTTTATGCCTGGAGAGTGGTCATTGCCATCGGCGGGCATTTGCATTGGCAAGGAGCCCTGCTATTAGTGGGTGGCCAGTAAGCGTGCCCCGCAGGGTTACAGCACCTGAGTTCCTGCCTCTGGCATCGGGGTCTCCCTGCAAGTACATTGATTGCCCTGCAGAAGAGGACTAGGATATGAGAGTGTGTTTGGCTTGAGGTCAGCAGAAGACACTTGACCATATGCTATGCTGTGTTAGGGGGTAACTCCACTAGGGTTACCACCTCATCCCTTTAAACCTACACACACATATTAATTACACAGTTTCTGTGGGTGATTAAGATGGTAATGTAACTCATCTAGTGCCTTATCTGCATTATATTAGCTTCAGAACCTGTGTAATTAATATATGTTCAGTTTTTAAAGGGATGAGGTGGCAACCCTAAACTCTACTTGTGTTGAAAAAAAAATAATAACCAAAAGAAAACTATGCTCTCTTGGTGATTGATGTACATTGCAGTATTTTATGAAAGTTTGGTGCAGTCTCTTACCCTTTTCTTTTTTTTCTGCCCTGAACAGATAACTGTTTGCTTCAGCATGGATTGTTTTTTGTATGTCAGGGTTTGCTCAATAACCACCTGGTGGAATCTTAGTGCTCTGATGTGGTAAGCTGCAGTGTCAGTATTTTTTTTTTAGCACTGGTTAACCCTTTAGGGGTTTTTCTCACCTAGCAAACAGAAACAGCTGTTACATTGTCTTTTTTGACAGCTTTGGAAACTTCTGTAGCTGCAGTTTGAATTGGGAAAGTTAGTTTTATATTACTAGATGGCTTGAGTAGCAATTGTACATGTTACAATATGTTTTCTTAACAATGTGGAGTTCTTTCTTAGACTTAGGCAGTGTCCCTCTTAGCAAGGACTTGTTTCTCTTACTGTGCATTATGCCCATAAACTGGGCCCTTGCTACTCTAGATGGGATCTTTTTCAGTCCAGTTTTGAGTAAAGGCTTTTTCATGAAGGCAACGCCTTGAAGAGTTTTTTCCTCATGGAGGTTTGCCAGGATGTGGGCCTTGGGCTATGAGGGATCCTTGTTGGCATTCTGCCTAGTACAGGTAGTGTATAAATCCAAGTGAAACAACAAGAAGCGCACCAACCTTGTGCATTACCTCAGTAACCAAAATTTATTAAATGAAGGAATGGTACTCACAAACAGCGAATAAAAACAGGCATGTAAGTCCACCCAGGGACTTCAAAGGCAAGAGGCCAGCGCGAATCCCATCATGGGTATAGGTACTCAGTCCCACCTGACGCGTTTCGAAGGTCAAGCCTTCTTCTTCAGAGCTGAAGAAGAAGGCTTGACCTTCGAAACGCGTCAGGTGGATTGAGTACCTATACCCATGATGGGATTCGCGCTGGCCTCTTGCCTTTGAAGTCCCTGGGTGGACTTACATGCCTGTTTTTATTCGCTGTTTGTGAGTACCATTCCTTCATTTAATAAATTTTGGTTACTGAGGTAATGCACAAGGTTGGTGCGCTTCTTGTTGTTTCACTTCACAGTTTGTTCGGGCTTCCCCAGCCTTGGTTTGGAGCTGCACGACTTTGGATATCCCGGTGGTTGCTTCTCTGGAGGTTTTAATTCCATCTACTCGCCACCATCCTGGGTCCCGGAGCGCAGGAGAAATCGCTTAGTGTATAAATCCATACATGGTTGCAATCTGAGGTGGCTTCGGCATCTTTTGAGAACAAAAGATTTAATCCTTCCATATGCAGGACTACTAAGAATAACTTGTTCCATGCCCTGAATATTGGGATACTTTAAGCAAAGCTGTAGCTTGTGAGCATGCTCAGAGTTTTAGGACATCTCTGTGTCACTCTCTCTAACAAAACCAGGGGGATGGAGGTATAATCCAGAATCATCACTGGATGGGTCATTTCGGCTAGCCAACTGGCTTATAGGGCTCAGGGCTTGTTTTCCTATGGAAGCAGTGTCAATGCACTCAACCAGAAATGTGTAGACTTTGTGGGCTCTGTGAGAAAGGGTGCTGGGAATATGTGTAGGGGTATGACATGTATTCCATTAAGGCTGTTGTGGATCATTATGGAGTGTAGCTAGCTTCCTTTTACTGTTAATTTCTATCCATAAGGTTTCTGTTGGCTAAGTGCTATGATTGAAACCCAACTTTTTTAGGCATCCCACACACTTTTTTTTTTTAGGCTAGATAATCCCCAAACATAAGCTGCCATAGAGTCTGTCAGGAAAACAGAAAAATTCATATCAAATACCATAATTTTTCATTTTTTTTCTTTCCTGAGGGACTCCATGGCAGCAAGAGTCTCCTCCCATTGTCATGAGTAGACTAGTTACAGAATGTGGCCTCTGGCTCAGCCTCAACATTTATGGAAGTGGGGTCCTATGGGGTGGAAGCAATGGCTGCCATAGAATCCATCAGGAAAGGCAAATTACAGTAAGAATTTGATAAGAAAATCTCCATTATTATAAAGCCTGCTTTTTAGTAGAGATGCATTCTTAAAAGTTTTTAAAAATATCAACACAGAGTACACAAAAACACTTTTTAAAACTATTCTAAGACCCCCTTCCCATTCCTGTATGTCCAATTTTTCCCCAAAAATGTAAAATATAGACTTTAGGTATGTGTTTGGTAGCAATCAGAACAGTAAGTGATCACCTGAATAGGCAGCAAATAGAGCTATGCAGTGTGGGATTTGTTTATGTATTTGCTGCCAAGAACACCATTGCGGTCTGCCGCATATCAGCCTTGGTAAAAGTATAATTCATTTCACTACCAAATGCATGAGGAAACACATGACTATGCACCAAAGAACTCAATTGGAGCAGCACAAGTTAATGAGAAAAGTCGGTAGCAAAAGGCAGGCACTTCTCTTTCTCAGTGGCTCATAGCAGCCACTTTCTTTTACAGTGCTGCTCATGAGCCCCTTTTCTCCTCCTCCTCAAGGATTTAGAGCAGCCATTTTCTTACTTTGCTGCTCATGTGCCCTTTTCCTCTTTGAGGGGGCAGAACAGCCACAATTGCTCCATTGAGGGAAACAGCTTTATGGTAAGAAGCAACCAAGGATTATATGTCTACAGGAGAAATGGACACGAAGCACATACTTGTGTTGATGTGACAGCATGAGCACTCACACTAGTCTCTTCTTCACCGCTGCTGATCAACTAGACAGGTGGTTTTCCTCATTCTGACTTGGCTGCCCTATTAAAAAGTTTGCATTTGAGTGAATCTTATTCAATCATAAATGTTGTCTACCAAGCTCGACCAGTTCCCAGAGACAGTAGTTCTTCATATGAACAAAGATTTGCTGAACTGAATTTATTCTCCCCTGAGAAGGGGCAATGGGGGATATAATGACCTGAATTTGGTGCAAAGTTATTTACTTTAAGGTCATTACAGAGGACAAGGGTGGGCACTCTTTGTGTCTGGAGGTAAAGAGTTATAATCCTTGCATGCAGAAAGGATTCTTCACAGTAAAGGCTGTGAAAAATTTGGAATAGGATCTCTCATGAACTAGTTCTAACCAGCTCAATTGATTATTATAAATTTAAAAGGAAGTTTGCATAAGTTCACAGAATATAATTGGATATTAACATTTATAAGTAACAACAGCAAAGACTGTTGACCCTGGAAATATCCAAATGCCTTTGGGGATCAGAAAGGATTTTTTTCCCTTGTTAAAGCAAATTGAACCACGCTTTATAAGGGATTTTGCATTCCTTTGAGAAGTCTCTGTTTTTGTTTTTTATTTGAGAGTAGTTGAGCCCTCTCCTGGATATCTTTTATGCTAAAGTCTTCCTGCCTGAGGAGAAGTTGCGAAAATTGCGTAGTAGAGTTTAACAATCTCAGCAGACATCTTTATGCGCTGCATGTAAATGCTGGGGTGGTTTTCCACCTTTTTAAGCAGTTCAATTTCCTTACTGCTACTAAGAACTTTTTTTAACAGAACATTCTCATGACATTGGACTAATCCAATGTCTCTCCAAAATGCATAATCAAGTCACATCCTCTGTCCCAGACATATCTGTTGTGGTGGCTTCTGTCTCCTGCATTGTTAGTTCTTACTTCCACACCTTGGAAGATGACACAATGTCTAGCAGCCTTTGGGTTGGAACAAAGTTTTGGATCATCTCTCTCTAACCTTACTTAACCTTTATGAGGCTATTGGGTTATGTTCACTAAAGAAATGTTCCCTTTTCCAGATCCACTTTTTCTAGTGCAGGTGCAGGCTTTTACAGTAAATTGTGAAACAAAGTGCATCCTTCAGTTTTCCATGTGTCGTGATTGCCTATTACCATAAAATGTGAACCTCAATGAACACTAAAAAATGGTTCTTACAGTGTGTACAAGTATCCTATATTTTACTGTGCAGTTCATGTGCCCTTTCCCTTCTTCTCCTCCTCCTCAAGGGTGCAGAGGAGCAATTTGCCTTACGTGTGCTACTTCTGTGCTCTTTTTCTCCTCCTGCTTCTTTTCAGTTAATCCTGCCATATCACAACCAACTGACTTACGCAGGCCATTTATCGGCCGGATTTTCTTCCGCACGAATAATCGGCAGATAATCACGCCGTTAGTGGGGCCAGCCCGTCGGCCGTTTTTCACGGATCTCCTCATTTATTTTTATCGGTCATGCAATGTTTCGCGGACATGGGAGGCAACATCGGCAACGGGGCTGACCGATTATAGTTTATCGGCCGAAAAGTCATCTATAGCCCGCCTATGTGAAGCCAGCTGACCTTTTTATGCTATCTCCAGAGCTGGTCAACAGGTTTCTGCAGTGCTGCTGCAGAAGCAGAATAAAAACATTTCCCCAAATCAGCCCTTGCCCAACATCTTCCTGCCAGCTTTACCCAACACCCTATTTATGCTTTTTCATGGCCTATGCTACACCACAATATCAGGTACTTAGCTGCCATTATTTTCCCCAGAAGGCCATATACTACCTGCTTATTACTTTGCACAGAAGGCCATCTCTGCCCTCCACAAATATGCACCTTGAATCAACTGATAATGAAGATCTGCCAGCACAGTACATTCAATTTTTTATGGTAAAAGAATGCCCCAGCTCTGTCCTTTAAATTACATAGAAGTAGAATGAGAAGTAGGAGTTGTAGCAAATAAAAAGTTAAGCAGCAATTTTTTTAATTATTTCTTTTAAAGTTATGCTATGAGTATGGGAAACATTTAACAAGTTTAAAGTTGGTGCTAACGCTGTTTGATTGCAGAGGTGGAATTGCACTTTAACTTAAAATGTAAAACCCTAGCGTTCCATCCTTAAACAACTCTGAAGATTGTTAAATTTCTAGGAACTAAAATTATTATTTTTCTTTCTTTCTTTTTACAGCAAATGTTGACCATGAAAACACAGAAAAATTTCTTTCTGAAGTTCATTTAAGGTATTTGAAGTCTTATTAAAGGTTGTACTAGAAGTTATTAAGGAAACACTGTGGTTCTGTGATGCTCAGTCCAATTTCTAGGTCAGAAACTATAGCTGGCGAGCTGTTCCCTCTTCTCAGAATACAAGAAGACAAGAAGAAGCACCAAGGGGAGCATTGTCCTAGTCTACTCAAAACATTCCTCCATCCTACAGGAAAAAGACAAAATCCATTTACTTGTAGCTTGTGCTTTCCTGTTGCCTACCGTACAAATCCCTAGAACAACATTATTTCATCATGCCCAAGAATCTCTCCTCACCAGGTCTCCTTTCACTCTTTGACAAGTTATATTATGATAAGGACTGGAGGTTTAAACACGGGAGCTGCAAGCAAACTTTACTTAGCTTCATCATTACCAGCCCAAAGTAGCAGAGTAGACTGCAGTGCACCTAAACTTGATCTATTAGTTTTCAAGGCATGAATTAATTGAATCTTCACATCTTACAGAACACCTGTGAACATGGTAGTCCACAGACACCACCCATGACTGGCAGGTGTCTTGCTAGAAGTGGAGACCTATATAGCTGCTGAGGATAGGCCTTTCTAGGGGAGAAAACCTTGACAGAAAGTATGGTGGTTAATTGCATGCATCCTGACAAATATTTGTGAATTTCTATCTCATGTAAATCTACATCAATGGTTTCCAAACTGTGGCTAGGGGACCAGATGTGGCCCTTTGATTGCCTTTATCTGGCCCTTGGTGGACTATTCCTCCCACTGACGCAGGGACATTTTCTAATCCACTGGACACAGTCTGGTCCCCCTATGGTCTGAAGGACAGTAAACTGGCCCCTAGTTTAGAAAGTTTAGAGACCCCCGATCTACATGATCCAAGTAGAATCCTAAAGAACTCATTTGTTTATCTGTTATTGTTATACAGGTTTTTGGAAACTGTAGCCTATTATTGTGTAAAGCCAAAAATTGGGGAAAAGGAGGTGTCTCCAAACACATTCTTCAGCATCTGGCATGAATTTAGCACTGACTTTAAAGACTCTTGGAAGAAAGAAAATAAGATAATTTTACAAGAAAGGTAGGTGATATGCAAACTATTTATGTGGCAAGTTAAATAAATGTATCTTTTTTTTTCTATGGCTGCACCATATGCATGTGAATATTTTACCTGCATTTAACCGCCCTTTAACTGTAGAAAATGCACAGTAAATAAAAGCCAGATTGTGATTGTATCTGCATTTTAGAGGATAACTGAAGTACTTTCCAGCTCCTAAACATTACAGAAAAACATGTAAATGTAACATGCACATAAATGTAAAAGTAACACATAAAAGATTACAAATGCCTGAAATCATGCATACTTGTGTATATGAACCTCCTAGTTCATATGCACTATTTTTGAAGTTTTGAACAATTTTTATCCTTTATTTACTGAATTTGTTTTCATGCATGCATATTTTAGGATCAGCTGCGGGTAACAAGTGACATAAAATTTTATTTCCCAAAACCTTTGTTTATTAACCCATACATTAAGCAGACACAATCCACCCTAAGGGCCCTTTTTCTGTGCTTGCTGCCACTACAAATTTATGTGGAAAAAGAGGGGAGTGGTAGAAAATGGAAACTGTTGATAGTTACTACAAATCTTAGAGATGTTTTTGTTCTACAGGTTGAAGGAAGCTGAAGAGGTATATAAGCAAAAAAAGGAAAAGGCATCAATTACTGTCAAGCCAAAGCACGAATCTGGAATTGTAAGTATTTTTATAAAGCACGTGTGCATCTGTCTGCATCTAAGGAAATTTTATTTTTCTCAAAACACATTTATTTTGCACCTGGGATTTCAGTTATTTTATAAAATTTTACATTTATTTACTTTAAATATTTTAAATACTATCCTACTTTTTTGTAAATACACTCACTGGCCACTTTATTATTAGGTACACCTTGCTAGTACCAGTTTGGACCCCCTTTTGCCTTCAGAACTGCCTTAATTCTTCATTGTATAGATTTAACAAGGTGTTGGAAAAACATTCCTCTGAGATTTTGGTCCATATTGACATGAGTTACTTGTTGCCCGTCTATCATTTCCAACCAGTCTGCCCATTCTCCTCTGACATCAACAAGGCATTTTCGTCCACACAACTGCCACTCACTGAATATTTCTCGGACAATTCTCTGTAAACCCTAGAGATAATTGTGCGTGAAAATCCCAGTAGATCAGCAGTTTTTAAAATACTCAGACCAGCCCATCTGGCACCAACAACCATGCCACGTTCAAAGTCACTTAAATCCCCTTTCTTCCCTATTCTGAGGCTCGGCTTGAACTTCAGCAAGTCATCTTCACAACTGGATTGTCAGGGCTCCAGGTATGACCAGAGATGTGTGGACTGACACAGGGAAACGCAGGCTTCAAGTATGGTGTAAAACAATATAATTTATTAAAAGTTACACAGTACACCGAAACTCACAGTGTAAGAACCAAACCTCCAACAGATCCCAGTATGTGCGGGAACACAAATGTAGTCAGGCAGGTCGGGTCGGTAACTATCGGGCAGATAAGGTACAAAGGAGCAGGCAGGAGAGTGGTCAGGAATAGCCGGGGTAGGTGCAGGCAGAGTTCTAACAGAGTCCAGATCAGGCAGGAATATCAGACAGGATGCAGGTACAGGGGCTCATGGGAACAAACACCAAGGCACTGAGTGCAGGCCTGGCCATTGCTTAAATACACCTCCTGCAATCAGCCTCAGGTAATGGCTTGATTGCAGGAGTGAGATTCTGGCTGCTGAGAGCACCCGCTGGCCAGCCCTGGTACTGCAGCCCACAAGACAGGTGAGCTCCAGCACCACCTGTGCTGAGCCCATTCCTGACATGGATGCATAGATGCATGGAGTTGCTGCCATGCAATTAGCCAATTTGTGTTACCAAGCAATTGAACAGGTGCACTTAATAAAGTGGCCGGTGATTGTATGTGTGTCCGTCTACACCACCTTAACATTTTAGAGTGAGCTCCCATTTGCCTTTATCCTGAAGTATCCTAATATCATTGAGAATCTCTGTTATTATATTTGCCAGACTGGAAATATAACTGTTCCAGGATTTCAAAAATACTTATAAAAAGGGATAAATGTGAGAAAAGCTTAGGGTATCAACCATGTAATGTAACAATATTCATATATGTATTGAAGCAAAAACCACTACATTTTTCAAAATAAATACTTAATTACAAATACTATTTCAATATATTAGGTTCTAAAGTTAGTCAATGGTTAAACACATTTAAAATGGCTAAAAAAGTCTTCAGCCACAACCATCATAATATTTCTCTTAGAAACTGCTAGAAATGGATACAAATTAATGAACTCTAATAGGTGTGAAGGTTAGACTTCACAATTACAGCGTCCTAGTAAAAATAATCAATATACAACTTTAGTATGGGTGTTTTAAACCACCTCCTATCCTGTCAACTATCTGTGATATTAAGTAAAGGTCTGTAATATTTAATATTTTAGGAAGGCATGTTTAAGATTAATGGGGTAGGTTATCTTTATAGCCACATGTCATGTGTGATACCTTTCACAAGCTAAATGGTTCACAGATGGGTGCTGCTCTCTGTGTTGGAGCATTTTTATTTTCTTTTATCCACATTCTACCCTCCACTGGAAGTGCAATTCAATTTCTGAAGTTGTGCAATGAGGTGATTGTAGCCATTTTAGTGCATTTGCGACAGAAACAATTGAGTACTGTCTGTGATGCTTATAAGTTACATATACTTGTATGTTAGTGCAAATAAAAAAAGTATCACGGACAGTACTCAATTATTTCTGAAGTTGTGCAAGGAATTTATACATGACCTAGAATTAAGCATTGTTGTTTTCTTTGATGTAGAGATGCTGCACAACTCCAGTTTCCTCTGCATAAACTTGAAGTGTGGAAAATAAAGACTGCTGTGCAGCTTATTCCAGTGGAATGTGTTTATGGGAATATTATTGTTATAATTGCATTTCATTCAGTCATTATGTATTTTGACTAGATGAGCACCAAAATGTTTAGAAATTCTATATAATATCCAGTGAAAGTTGGCTAAAAAAAAAAAAATGAAAAAGGCATTTAAACCCAATATCCAGTGAAAGTTGGCTAAAAAAAAAAAATGAAAAAGGCATTTAAACCCAACAACGATATGTTGGGTTTAAATGCCTTTTTCATTTATTTATTTTTTTACCCAATTTCCACTGGATATAATATAGAATTTCTAAACATTTAAATGCTCATCTAGCAAATAAAGGGGTTGATTTACTACAGGTAAATATACTGTGCACCACTGAGGGGTAGCTCTGAAATGAGGCGAAGTTCTGTGGATTTCTTTCATCCAATCATATGCAAGCAAAAATGCTATTTTTTTTTTTATTTTCCTTGCTTGTTCCCCTCAGATCTAGAGCAACTACACTTTCAGTGTACAGCCCATTTGCTTTTAGTAAATCGACCCCATTGTATTTCTCCAAACAATATTACAGAAGATAGTAAATGGTATTTATTCAGTGTTAGTAAACATAATAATGCATTTCTTTTGTTCTCCTTTCTAGAAAGCAAAACTGAGCCTACGAACGTGATTTTGGTGCAACAGAGCATACAATGTGGAACTAAGATGAATGTCAAGCTATTTTTTTGTATATAGGAGGACATTACAATGTTACATGAACAAAACAGGATCAGTACAAGTTACTTATTTTTTCCCAGACAAGACAATATTGAGAAATCTAAATTACTTCTGAACTTCAGAACTCGTGAAACAGAATGTGATCTTCAATTATCTGTTTTAAACTCCCATAATAAAATATTTCATAAGTATTACTGTGTGATGAATTCCTAAAATGTTCATCATGTCATTTTAATCCTCTTAAAGAAACTATTATTTTCCTAATTACTGGTCTTAGTTTAATATAATTTCAAACCATTTTCTATGTTCAGGTTATTAATGTACATAATAAATTGATATTAAATTAAAATATGTATATGACTTTTCTGTTGTAGTCATAATTTGTAAAAACACATGCAAAGCAGTTGTTTTGTTTCATTAGCAATAAAAAGGTAGTTCATGGATGAAAAATTTATATATATATATATATATATATATATACACACACACACACACACACACATATATACACACACACACCTCAAAAAAAATAAAGGAACACTTTTTAAGCAAAGTATAGCATCACGTCAATTTAACTCCTGGGATATTGCTCTTATCAGTTAAGCAGCAGAGGGGGTTATTAATCAGTTTCAGCTGCCTTGGTGTTAATGAGACAACAACAATTAGAAAACCACCAAAACAGGAATGGTTTTACATTTCTTTCCCTACTCATCTTTTCTGACTGTTTTTGCATATAGAGCTTCATGGAATGGGCTTCCTTAGCTGGGCAACTGCATCCACGCCTTACCAAGTGCAATGCAAAGCGACAGATGCAGTGGTGTAAAGCACACCGCCGCTGGACTCTAGAGCAGTGGAGACATGTTCTCTGGAGTGAAGAATCATGTTTCTCTGTCCGATGGAAGTGTCTGGTTTTGGCAGTTGCCAGGAGAACAGCATTTGCCTGACTGCATTGTGCCAAGTGTAGAGTTTGGTGGAGGGGGGATTATGGTGTGGGTTTGTTTTTCAGGGGTTGGGCTTGGCCCCTTAGTTCCAATGAAGGGAAATTTTAAGGCGTCAGCATACCAAGACATTTTGGACAATTTCATGCTCCCAGCGTTATGGGAACAGTTTGGTCCCTTCCTGTTCCAACATAACTGCGCACCAATGCACAAATCAAGGTCCATAAAGACATGGATGAGTGCGTTTTGGGTGGAGGAACTTGCCAAGAATGACTGCATTTTCTCTACCACAGTTTGTTATATAGACTAACTAATTTCAAGATAATTCAATTAGGAACCGCTGGATCATTGTTTTTCTTTTCTGGGTGGAGCAACTGGATGACCTTAACCTCATAGAACACCTTTGGGATGAATTAGAGCGGAGACTGCGAGCCAGGCCTTCTTGCCCGATATCCGTGCCTAACCTCACAACTGCACTTCTAGAAGAATGGTCAAACATTCCCATAGACACACTCCTAAACCTTGTGGACAGCCTTCTCAGAAGAGTTGAAGCTGTTATAGCTGCAAAGGGTGGGTCAACTCAATATTGAACCCTAAGGACTAAGGCTGGGAAGCTATTAAAGTTCATGTGAGATGTTCAATCTCCTAGATTGTAAGCTCCAAGGAGCAGGGCCCTCAATTCCCTCTTGTAATGAACTGTATTGTTACTGTATTTCTCCCCCACTATAATGTAAAGCACTGAGCAACGGTTGGCGCTATATAAATCCTGTATAATAATATTATATTAATGATGTGTGTGAAAAGGCAGGCGTCCCAATACTTTTGGCAATATAGTGTGTGTTGTGGTGTGTGTGTGTGTGTACGTATGTGTGTATGTATATTACATATATATATATATATATATATATATATATATATATACACACACACATACAGGTGAAACTCGAAAAATTTGAATGTCGTGCAAAAGTTCATTTATTTCAGTAATGCGACTTTAAAGGTGAAACTAATATATGAGATAGACTCATTACATGCAAAGCAAGATAGTTCAAGCTGTGATTTGTCAGAATTGTGATGATTATGGCTTACAGCTCATGAAAACCCCAAATCCACAATCTCAGAAAATTAGAATATTACATGCAATCAATAAAACAAGGATTGTACATAGAACAATATCGGACCTATAAAACGTATAAGCATGCATATGTACTCAGTACTTGGTTTGGGCCCCGTTTGCAGCAATTACTGCCTCAATGCGGCATGGCATGGAAGCTATCAGCCTGTGGCACTGCTGAGGGGTTATGGAAGACCAGGATGCTTCAATAGCGGCCATTAGCTCTTCTGCATTGTTCGGTCTCATGTCTCTCATCTTTCTCTTGGCAATGTCCCATAGATTCTCTATGGGGTTCAGGTCAAGCGAGTTTGCTGGCCAATCAAGCACAGTAATCCCACGGTCATTGAACCAGGTTTTGGTGCTTTTGGCAGTGTGGGCAGGTGCCAAGTCCTGCTGGAAAATGAAGTCAGCAGCCCCATAAAGCTCATCTGCGGAAGGAAGCATGAAGTGCTCCGAAATCTCCTGGTAGACGGCTGTGTTGACCCTGGACTTAATGAAGCACAGTGGACCAACAAATGACATGGCTCCCCAAATCAACACAGACTGTGGAAACTTCACACTGGACTTCAAGCATCTTGCAGTGTGTGCCTCTCCATTCTTCCTCCATACTCTGTGTCCTTGGTTTCCAAATGAGATGCAAAAGTTGCTCTCATCAGAAAAGAGGACTTTGGACCACTGAGCAACAGACCAGGTCTGTTTTTCTTTAGCCCAGGTAAGACGCTTCTGACGTTGTTTGTTGTTCAGGAGTGGCTTGACAAGAGGAATACAACATTTGAAGCCCATGTCCAGGATCCGGATGCGTGTGGGTGGCTCTTGATGCACTGACTCCAGCCTCAGTCCACTCCTTTTGACAGTACCCAACACTTTTGAATGGCCTTTTCCTGACAATCCTCTCCAGGCTGCGGTCATCCCTGCTGCTTGTGCACTTTTTTCTTCCACACTTTTCCCTTCCACATAACTTTCTATTAATGTGCTTTGATACAGCACTTTGGGAACATCCAACTTCTTTTGCAATTACCTTTTGAGGCTTTCCCTCTTTATGGAGGGTGTCAATGATGGTTTTCTGCACAACTGTCAGGTCAGTAGTCTTTCCCATGATTGTGATTCCTACTGAACCAGACTGAGAGACCATTTAAAGGCTCAGGACCCTTTGCAGGTGTTATGGCTTAATTAGCTAATTAGAGTGGGACACTTTGAGCCTAGAATATTACACCTTTTCACAATATTCTAATTTTCTGAGATTGTGGATTTTGGGTTTTCATGAGCTGTAAGCCATAATCACCACAATTATGACAAATCACAGCTTGAACTATATTGCTTTGCATGTAATGAGTCTATCTCATATATTAGTTTCACCTTTTAAGTTGTATTACTGAAATAAATGAACTTTTGCACAATATTCTAATTTTTCGAGTTTCACCTGTATATACAGTCAGGTCCATAAATATTGGGACATCAACACAATTCTAACATTTTTGGCTCTATACACCACCACAATGGATTTGAAATGAAACGAACAAGATGTGCTTTAACTGCAGACTGTCAGCTTTAATTTGAGGGTATTTACATCCAAATCAGGTGAACGGTGTAGGAATTACAACAGTTTACTTTTGGTCCCTTAACAAGTGGGAGGCACATATGCAATGGGACAATTGGCTTCTCAGCTGTTCCATGGCCAGGTGTGTGTTATTCCCTCATTATCCCAATTACAATGAGCAGATAAAAGGTCCAGAGTTCATTTCAAGTGTGCTATTTGCATTTGGAATCTGTTGCTGTCAGCTCTCAAGATGAGATCCAAAGAGCTGTCACTATCAGTGAAGCAAGCCATCATTAGGCTGAAAAAACAAAACAAACCCATCAAGTCCTTTGCAGTCAATTACAGCCTGAAGTCTGGAACTCATAGACATCACCAGACCCTGGGTTTCATCCCTGGTGATGCTCTGCCAGGCCTCTACTGAAACGGTCTTCAGTTCCTGCTTGTTCTTGGGGCATTTTCCCTTCAGTTTTGTCTTCAGCAAGTGAAGTGCATGCTCAATCGGATTCAGGTCAGGTGATTGACTTGGCCATTGCATAACATTCCACTTCTTTCCCTTAAAAAACTCTTTGGATGCTTTTGCAGTATGCTTTGGGTCATTGTCCATCTGCACTGTGAAGCGCGTCCAATGAGTTCTGAAGCATTTGGCTGAATATGAGCAGATAATATTGCCCGAAACACTTCAGAATTCATCCTGCTGATAATGAGGGAATAACACACACATGGCCATGGAACAGCTGAGAAGCCAATTGTCACATTACTTTTGGTCCCTTAACAAGTGGGAGGCACATATGCAAACTGTTGTAATTCCTACACCGTTCACCTGATTTGGATGTAAATACCCTCAAAATTAAAGCTGACAGTCTGCAGTTAAAGCACATCTTGTTCGTTTCATTTCAAATCCATTGTGGTGGTGTATAGAGCCAAGAATGTTAGAATTGTGTCGATGTCCCAATATTTATGGACCTGACTGTGTAATATATATATATATATATATATATATACATATACATACATATATACACACACACACACACACACACACACACACACACACCACACAACCCACACACTTTTAGTGTACAGATTACCCATGCTGATGCCATTTATAAATAAATAACACACTGCAAATACTTATCACTTCCACATGGTTCTTCGTGGGGTTGAGAACTAAATGTGCTGCTTGTGAATATCATGAATGTGCTTACAGAACTGAAGAGCACAGGGATGACTTTATCAATGTGCTGATGCCCCTTCATTGTCTGAATGGCAGAATTTGGAAAGTTAGGTGGCTAAATGTTTTTTTTCAAAGACCATACATTTTAACACCTCTATTATTTTCATCAGCATGTATTTGCCAAAGTTGA